AGAGGTGGTGGATTCACCATCCCTGGAGGTTTTTAAGCAGAGATTGGATGTGGCCCTTAGTGCCATGCTATAGTAATTGGAGTTGGATCAGGGGTTGGACTTGATGATCTTGGAGGTCTTTTCCAACCCAATCTATTCTATGATTCTATGATTCTATGATTCTATGATTCTATGATTCTATGATTCTATGATTCTATGATTCTCATCAATTCATTCAGATCTAAGCAATCTGAGGTACACTTTACAGAGAGACAAGGAAGCAAATCAATACTTGGGCTCTCCTTTCTTAGGTCTTTACTGGGCCTCTTCTCATCTCAGCTGCACTGGTAAAACTTAGGCACAACTGTGTTAAGAGTCAGGAGAGTCAAAGCAGAGTAACCTTCCCAGCTGCAAGGAAAAGGAAAATTCATCCACTTGCCTTTTTTTTTGGTATCTCCTCATACTACATAAGAGTCACAGAGCTATTGCTGAACATCTGCTGACTTCAATCCAGTCTTGGAAGACCCACTGCTATAAAACCTAACTTACAGGTACTTAAAACAGTAACTGGTAACAAGCAATGGCATGATCCCCTGGCATGAAGAAAGCTAAGTGACAGCTGCAGATAACGTACAGAAAAGGATGAAAGATACTTGCTGGTATTTTTCTTTTTTATCTCTAAACATGGAAATTATAGAGGCTGAAAACTGGGAGTGATGCTCACCAAGTCCCGTGCTTGCTCACAGGATAGACTCTGTCCATCTTGAAGTGTGAGAGGCTTAAAATTCTTTTTTTTTTTTTAATCTCGATAATATGGTATGTCTTAAAATGGGAGCTGTTATCTGTGGCATGGAATCCAAATGTGATGACAGCTGAAGAACATAGACTCTTTTACAAACATCACCTTTTATAAATGTTTGTGATTTTGTTCCATCTTTTTTATGAACCAAAAATAATTATAAAAACAAAGGGTATGTACATACAGAGAAATATATATGCAAACAGTCTGAGACAGTCCCCACACACATTATTATGGGGAGGTGGCACAGCTGTTCACAAATGGCAACACCACTGCTTCTCCTTCCTCTTCCAAGGAGTGCCTACAAAATCTTTCTCCTTGCACTCACCAGGATGAAGGTGACTCATGCCATACTATAGGGAAAACTTAGGCTTGAAACGCTTTTAAGGCCTGCTTTAAAAAGTCCTTTCTTCCCCACGTTCTTCAGCCTACAAAACCAAATTGCTGCAGCCTCCCATCTAGAGGCCTGTAAAAGTATTCCAAATGAGCCACTCTATATTTCAGGGTGTCATGAATTTAAGGCAAGATATTTTACAGTCTCAGCTGTTAAATACAACAAATTCTGCATACGCATGAGGAATACAGCATAGTGAGAACCCGGACTCCTGGTGGCCTATGAGATCAAGCTTTCTGTCTAGTCCTAGTAGCTTTAAAATTATAACTTGAAGCTTCTTCACTGCAGAAGGAAATTCCTTTCTCATAAAACAGAGGCTGAACGACCCTGTGATGCCAGTTCATGGGAGGGTCGGTTGCACAGCATCAGAGATGCACCAGCTCTCTGCAGAGATCAAAGCATTGCTATTGTTAAACACTGATAGGAGTGGATGATGACCGTACAGAGAGGCACTTTTTCTCAAATCCACAGATGGGTGGCACACCTTGCTTAATCCTGATGTCCTCATGGTCTTTGATTTGTTACTCCACAGGCTTTTGCATTGGCAGCACACAGCAGTTTTTTAAGACAAAAGGCTGGACATTGCTAGCTATCATGATTTGAAACAGGTTTCCAAATAACTATAGCAAACAAAACTGTGAATGATTTGTTAGTGCAAAGTTAATAATCTCTCTCTCTCTCTTGCATTTATTGTGTGCTCATCCCAGGGTTATCAGAGCTTCCATACCTGCTCTTGGAAATAATAAACCATTTTATAATTGTCTTTATCTTTTCTTCTTTCTCCTTCTCAAGCAACCTTTCAAAAAAAAAAAAAAATCTCTTTTCCCTGAAAATGTAGCAGTCTTTTACTAAACCAGTTGAAGTCAGTATGGATTTTGCCACCAGCTTTATAAGCAGCAGTCTCATGCTTACTTATGCAACATATTGACGCTCACAAAGGGCATGATGATTCTGCAAAGAATGCAGGTGATGAAAGTGAAATAGTAGCAT